ATTTTCTTTGTGTAAAATACCACGTGGAGTATGTATGCACGGAAAGGCGAGAAGGCAATGTAACATCTTTTTAAATCCATAAATGAATTTTGGCAAATTGTACAAAGGTACAAAGTATTACGGAGTCAGCACGGTAGTTTACTCTTGAGTATTAAAATACCTCCCCCTCCACACACATATTTCAAGCTACTGACATTAGTAATTTTAACTTTTTACTTATACTTCAAGTATATTTAAAAACTAATTTGTACTTTTTACTCAAGTACATCCAGGTACGTTTTACTCTTACTCAAGTCGTTTTGAAGTGAATTACTTCTACTTTTACTCAAGTACAAAAACAAAGTAATTTAGTCACCACTGCTTCGATGTAAACACAGGTGTAATACGTCATACACATACCTCTAAACATATAAGCTAAGGCGAAACGCAAAGCATTTCATCCGGAAAATCTTTCTATGTGCTTCGTCTTTGCAAGCCCCAGAAGTAAAGTTTACTTTTGTATCATTCCCATGCTTCTCTCACTCGTGTGAACCATGCTCAAAATTTCACTGCTCTTAGCCAATCAGAATTGAAAAAAATATCAATATTAATTTAAATATCGCTAATTTATTTGCATTACATAATTTTCTAGTTCAAATTTGGAAAAGAACCTTCATCAATACAATTACTGGGCAGAAAAGTTTGAGATGCTACCGATGTATTTTATGAGCTTTTATGGCGCACAAAATTTACAAGATGTTTTGGAGGTATTATAGTTTTGTTCAATTCTTATTTTATTTTTTAAAGCCTGGATAAAATAGTCGACCGCAAGACATGATTTTTTGCGAAATTACACGTACATGTATACTATCCGTTGTACCCGAAAATTTCCTATTTCTGTAAGGGCGTCAAGTTTTCCTTGGCCACCACGTACTGTATACACACCTGCGAATTTGTTTGTCTATGAAAACCTGGCATAGATGGGAAAAGATCTGTAGACATTCTAATAAAAGAGGGGTTCAGATTTGACTTCCACTAGCACTACCGCTACCTCTCACTGGCTCAGTACGCATTTGATTGGTTCATTGGGTAGATTACACGCATTTGATTGGTTAATCGTAGCTGTAGCGGCAGTCTAATCTGAATCTCTCTATTTACAAATGAAAGCAAAGGTGAAACATTGCAAATAATTGTTATTAACAGTCCAGACCTAATTGTAGACGGTAGTGCAGTTCATCACTTATACTTTATTTTAAATCTCTCAACAGGGCGTTTCAGATTTATCTACAGTTATAACTATTTGTAACTAACTATATTATGTCTATTTACAAGTTTACAAGTACTACTGCTTATCGACATGTTTTCGCTCACTACTCTGGTTTATATATAAATGAAGCCCAGTCGAATTTGTATTAATTTGTATTCATTTATATATAAACCAGAGTAGCGAGCGAAAACATATACATGCATGGTTGCTGGGAACGAACAAATACTATTTTATTTATCACTCGTTTATATACTTGCGAAACTCGATTTAGAAACTCGATCTCTTGCTGCCTTGCCACAGTCTGACAGATAAACTAAATAATTAAAGCATTTATTAATTTCATCATTTAGCGTCATGTTCTCATAAATCTCACTTTATTTTTTCAGACAATGTCCCACGCAGCTTACGTTTATGACATTGAACACGTGATTGTTGATAATCTTCAGTTTATGATCTCAAATTCGTACAGGTAAATATAGATACTGTATATCTGTCTGTAATTTTATAAAGTTTTGCTATTTTGTGTTGAACATACTTCAATTTATTAAGTAGTAGTAGTTAATTCTGATGTAAACATATACCAGCTCTTCGTGCCAGGTTTTGTTTTATCCTGTTTGAGCTTTCAAATTTTTAACATGATTATACAAATCTGTATTATGTATCACTTAAATGTGGTGCAATAGTGTCCTGATTTGATATTAATCAGCTGGTATATGTTTACCAATTTATAATATTGTCGTAAATAGAGGATATTATACACGGTGGCGCGAAGATATGACTTTTTATCTTCGAGTGGTGAAAACAATATTTTACGAACGAGCGCAGCGAGTCAGTAAAATATTGTTTTTAAAAGAGAAGATAAAAGTCATATCTTCAAGCCACCGTGTAATGTTCTGGGGCCGGTTGTATAAAACTCTTAATCACTTTTTAATCACTATTTTGTAGTTAAATAGTGATTAACTCTCAAATACGCGCTTCTTATTGGATGACGTTTGCACTTAATTATAGTTAACTTTAATCACTTTTTTACACAACCGGCCCCTGTTTATTATATAGTCCCAAGCGAAAAATTGTATAAATACTAAAAGTTACATGATCGATATCTTCACTAGTGAAGATATGGAAAATATGTCACTGTGTATTTTTCAGTATCTCACTCTCTACTATATAATAAATAATGATATTAGATGTAAACAAAATTCAAGAGGGAGAGTGCCTCGCATGGGTCTTGAGTCCCGTTCGCATTCTTGCCGTTTGAACATCGTTCAATAAAGCTGTTGAAATAAAAATAAAAAAATAAAATAAGGCAAGGTAGTTTTAAATACGTTTCACCTCTGTGACCGCGGGGTTCAATTCTTTCAACATGTCATTTTCTCATGATTAAAGGGCATGTACTAAAACACAGAATACTAATCTGGAACACCGGAACACGGCGGAACACCTCTGGAACAGTACGGAACACCTCCGGAACAGCACAGAACACGTCCGGAACACCACCGGAATAGCACGGAACAGTCCGAAACAGCCCGGAAAACCACCGGAACAGCTCCGGAGCTATGGATTTTTAGCCATTAAGGCCACTGAGATTAAGGCCCATACAGACCGAACGCGATTCGACAACGCGACGCGAATTTTCAGTTTCTAAAAACAAATAAAACCGTCAACGGATAAAAAATTTACAAAATATGCAGACCAAATAGCTAAAATTGCTTAAGTGGTTCCCCGAATATTTGAAAAACATAGAAAAATATTAAAGTTAAATGTCATTGAAAATTCGCGTCGCGTTACCAAATCGCGTCCGGTCTGTATGGGCGTTTAGGCTCCAAATAAGCGCGTCGAACGGGTAGGTAAAAATGGAGATTTCTTTCGTAATACTAGCGTAATTGTAAATCGGAAAACGTTGCAACATAAGCTCAAGTTTGTTATATATATTTAAGACGAGAGACATGTAAAATATTCAGCTGAGGGCGAAGAGGTGTCTGAGGTGAAGGCTGTGAAGCCGAGAGTATGATCAGTGAGTTGATTATATTGTATATTAATAATCTAGAAAATATATAAATTATAGTTATATTTTGTAGTTAGTTGTTTTCATGTGATTGGACATGTTGATCACATTAAAAATGTCCTATAACTAGGTTGAAAGTTGTTATAACTTTGTCTTGGAACATCCTAGTTTTGAATTGTTTTATATAAATGAGGCAATGACAATGATAAAATCAGGTCAATCAGGGGACAAGAATACTAACTACAACATATAACTCAGTATAATCTATATATTTTCTAGATTATTAATTTAAATAATACAGGTATACAATATAATCAACTGATCATACTCTCGCTTCTCAGCCTTCACCTCAGACACCTCTTCACCCTCGGCTGAATATTTTACATGTTTTTCGCCTTGAATTGATATAACAAACTTGAGCTTATGTTGCACTAATATTACCAAAGAAATCTCCATTTTTACCTACCCATTCGCTGGAACTCCTCCATGTTTTCGAAACAATTATATTTGACGCGCTTATTTGGAGCCTAATGGCTATAACCCATAGCTTCGTATGTCCGCCATGTTCCGGATTAGTGTTCCCTGTTTTAGTACATGCCTGATTAAAGGGATATCGGGCAATGAATATTAACTTTGTCTTATTTGAAAGAACCTTTAAGTATGAAGACCATTTACAACTTTTTCATACCTTGCTTGGTTTTCGAAATATTTTGACCAAAAACAGTGTATTGTAATTATGATGACGTCACAAGCAGAGTAAACTTGTTAAAACATCTTCATGTGGGACTAAATGTCTTCTAAAAGTTTCTTAAAATGTTGTGAGTTAATTGAGTACTAAAAAGACTTCGGAAAATGAAGTTTCATATTGATAATGACATGTGGTTTGCAAGATAAAAGTTTCACTTTTTCCCTACTATGACGTATGCATATCGAATGCATATCCAAGATGGCGGAATGCACGCTGCTTTTGATAAAAATAAGTCGATTTATTTCGAACACCAAGCAAGATACTGAATAATTGTAAAGGAAGTTTATATATCATTTTAAACGTTCTTTAAATAAGACAAACTTAGTTTATATTGCCATATCCCTTTAATTGCATCTCCGCACCACTGATATCCCTTTAAGAGGAGTTTTTAAATGTTACGTAATACGCGCTCAAAAGTAATACTGCTTTTAAAGCATCATTGATAATTGTATTTTAATTGACAAATTTTTCCCATTATTTTATGTTTCTCAATCGGCAAATGCATTTAAAAAGGTAGCTAACTGTATGAACTAGAGAATAAACTGCGCCAAAACGATTTTCGGATTTGAACACTTTCATCGCAAATACGTGACATAGAAAAAAATTGTCTCGTAATAGTTTTGCCCCAGTCGAATATGAAATGAATGCCTCCAGATCGACTGAACCTAAAAACGAGTTTCTTTGAAATTCTGCTTTCCTTTTAACAACTATTTGACAGAACCAAAACAAATTTTAGAATTCTGCCATCCAGTCACGAATGAGGGATCCCACTGTTTTTTAGCTTAGCATTTATACAAAGGGTCTATGTGTAGTGGAGTATGCACCATTTATAATTGCGAATAGGGCCGCCGAGAGGTTACGCGGAGCCTGGGGGCCTATGACGTCATGGTTGTAAAACGGAAGAGGGAGTGTTTTACAATATATTACACTTTATTGCATATTATCCGTCACTAACGCATCTATAGGATTTATATTGTCAGTTAAGCAATCTTTTATCGAGAAATTTTAAGGGCCTTTCGTTGCTTTGGGGGCCCCCTTCTTAGCTGGGGACCGGGGCATGCCGCCCATGGCTGCCCTGATTGCAAAATCACAACGTTTACTGTTTTTGCAAATATACTACTTTCTGATAACATGTTTCAATTTTTTTTTTATATCCTTAGTCCTGATCGATTTCATGCACAAAATGTAGCAATTAGTGAGTTTCGAAAGTTTGCAACATCCAAGAATGTTCATGTGACTATCGTTATTCATCCACGAAAGGTAAGATGATTTATCTTAAAGTATGACTTATGTGAAATTGCATTCAATTGTGCCCTAGCTGTTCGCCTATCCATGGAATTCTACGCACAGAGGCGTACATGCAGAAGAGATATACATATAAAAAAATAAACGTGTACAACTGAGATTATTGCCATCATCATCATCATTATGATCATCCTCTTCATCATCATTGTCATCATTATCATCATCAATTTTCTGAGACATCTTCAATGGAGTTTAGGCCTCATTTTTGTAAAGTTTCATTGCCATGACTATAAAGCAACTTCTCAGTGATGTTATGCTATATTTAATATAATAATATACATAAAAATATTACTCGATTGTGATTGGTTGATTTCGGTGCAGTTCAGCAATCCCAAACAGCAGTGCAATTTTCTGTAATCACAATCCAATTTTCTGTAATCACAGTGCATTTTTTTGTAATCACAGTACAATTTTCTGTAATCACAAAGCCTTGAAAATATGACTTTTATCTTTTTTTAAATGGAAAAGCCTTTACCTAAAACAAGACTAACAAAACTTACATAGTTGAGTGGAATTTTCAGGCTGTCAGTGTTGTATAATGTGATATAACAAAGCCAGGAAAACTTTGCCAGTGGACGGTTCGCTATAAACGTACAATTGTCTCGAAATTTTTGATATATATTATTAATACGTAATAACATGGTTTCTCGACGCGTAATTTGAATAAAACAAGCACTCGTGAGTTTTTAAAAAACCTCAAATAGCTTGATGCTCTTTGAAAAACTCACTCGTGCATGTTTTATCCAAATTGCACTCGAAACCATCCTATTACCTATACTAATCTTCTTTAACAGAATCCACCCGTCGTTGTCACGGTCTACCGTGCTATCGTTTTCTGTCTTCCATTCTGATTAAGCTGTGCGTCTAGTTTTCTAAATTTCCAAATCATCTTAGTCTTGCTTCCTCGATATTCTAACCCAGTCGACACACTTTCACTTTTTGTCTTGCCATAGAATTTTCACGGACTCCCTAGTAACTACTATATAAATATGCTTTATATGACAGGAGGGTGACGATGCCGAGCTACAAACAGCGTCTATCTTTGGTTCAGCAAAAGCAAGTCAAGAAGCAGATAATGTTATCATTTTGCAAGATAAGAAAGGAAAAAACGCAGGAAAATATCTGCAGGTATGGGAAGAACAGAGGGACCAGTGTGAAAATGCTATCAATGCAAAATTTACCAAATCAGTTTTATAATATTTACTATAATGGTGTTAAAATCCTAAAATTATATAGTGCTTAGTTACCTGCTTTAGTAACTTTTCATGAGCGCTTGTACCGGTTAAATTACTGAACCTCATATTTCTATTTGTCTGTTAGGTTACTAAAAACCGCTTTGATGGCACACTGGGGAAAGTCTACTTAAATTTCAACCGAGATTCACTGACCATGTCATCCTACCAAGGAAGCACCACGACCACTGTGTCATCTAAGAAAGACAACAAGTTTATACGAAGTGCCAAGCCTCCTAAAACAGGCCTGAGCTCTAGAAAAACTAAGACGGAGGGTGAGAATGAAGAAAGGAAAACAGGTGGTGAATGCGGGGCAAAATCCGGAAATCGAGAAAAGGGGAAATACAAAGAGAAAAACGTAAGTTCTGAATCACCTGTTACATCAAGCAATAGTGTAGTGTCAAGCAAGAATATAAAGGAGTCAAATTCGATCAAAATGCCTATTCAAGCAATGAAATTGAAGATTAATAGTGAAAGTGGGTCAAAAGATAGAAATCAGAAAGATAAACACAATACTGAATCTTCAGTGAAATCAAATACTCCTGTGGTGGCAGGCAGTCATATAAAGCACGCGAATTTAAGCACAAATTCTGTTGAACCATCTAGTCAAGCAGCGAGGCTGAAAAAAAACGAAAATTCAAAAGGAACTGCCTTAAGTACGAAAGCGATGCGTTTTAATGGACACTCTAGTAAAATATAATTTTGTTTTAATTTAAGTTAAACAGTTGGAGTTAAATTAAACAGTTCGATGTTAATAAAGAAGATTTCAGTTAAACAGTTGGATGTCAATAAAGTATACTGTACATAATACTTGAACACTTGTTACCATTCAAACCCACAGATCTAAACATCTCATGCAGTATCATTGTAGTTACAGGTAAACTATACGTCAAGCGTTCCTCTTTTGAGTTCCTAACTTGATTGAAATATTACTTATTACTTTCCACACTTAAAACTCCATTGGAATTCCCCTGAGGGAATTTGCTGACTTCCTGTTCTACTCTGAGCATTCTCATTGGTGGATAATTTTTGTTAGCCAATCACAACGCGCAGAACAGAACAGGAAGTTAGGAACATGTAACAGGATGTTAAAAACTTCTAACATAAACTGAGGAAAATTTAGTTGACTTTTAGAAACATTTGCAAATTCCCTCAAGAGATTTGCAAGGAAGTGAGAAAAATTGCAACCAAGTTTGAAACTCAAAATGAAACGCTTCACGCAGTTTACCTGTAAGCCTCGTTCAACAATGTTGGACGATTTTGCAAAATGTTGGATGGAAATCAGTTAAACAAAGTCAAACCCTATACATACAGTACGGTACAAAATAAAAAATATTACGAGGGTATACTGGCCAGAACAGAATTACACAAAAACAGGGCATTAATTCATTCAAAGATGAATATTGCCAAAGACGAATATTGGCCAGCCAGTTTTAACTCATGCTTTTAGAATAGACCCATTGCACTGACGTCACAAATCCTCAGAGTGTCCTCCAGATGCTCCATAACAATATCTGTTCGGGTACAACAACCACATACAGCGCAAAAATTAACCATTTTAATACAAAACAAGACGCTCTGTAGAGCGTTAACTCGCTGGGGCTATACAAATACGCACATTAATGTTGTTCCCGAACTAAGCGGAAAAGTCGAATACGAACGCAAAAGGCTTTTTAACACAGTACTAAAATGCGGTGCTCTACAATTCAAATCAAACTTCCGGCGTTCCGTCTGCAGGTAAAGTTATATTTAGTACGCTATAATCTATATACATTCTTTTGTCGGCCGCCAGTTGGTCCGTACGCAAGGATTAAACTGCGCTTTAAAACGTTCAAAGGAAAATATTGGGCTTTTGGGCTCAAAATACTATCAAGATGAAGAGAGAAGTGAGACGAATCCACTGGTATATGGCCGAAAAACAACGATACCAGAGTTATCAAGGATCAAACGCACTGCATTTTTAATTAGTTTAATAATTTTGAGCGATTTATCAACAATACAATTTCGCTTGGCTTTCAAAGACAAAGGCCGTAAATTGCTAGAATACTGTTGTTTATATACTGTAGTATAAATACATTTGACATCCGTAAGTACAATTTCTTACGCTGAATCGAACGGTGGTATTTTTATCCTTTATGTATTGCGCCATTAGGCATTTATACAAACACAATATCATGTTTCATACTACACTCTACAGCTTTCGCCTTTCCACAGCTACTAACTATAAGGGACTGTTGTTGGATAAATTTTATATTGATATGACACCAATATGCTTCTCATAAAGTATTTATCTATTATAAAACTACGTTGTGTAGTTTAAGTTATAACCTTTTACCTTGAAATATTTGTATTTGGCTCGTAATCAGTATATCATGATCGTGCACGGGAATTTAACGATCCAAATTTCGGCTTTTCAGAGTCGTGTACCAAGAAAAATGCATTAACTAAACTAGCAAGAATGTCCAGAGTTAGACACAATGCAAAATCCATAGAAAACAGGTACAATTCGTTGAAAATTTTAACGAAATTGTTTGAAACATTTGCCCACTCCACGAAATTGTTTGAAACATTTTTACTTGCTGCTGTTTCCATGTCGAAATTCCTTGTAAAATTGTTCAATTTCCCCGAATTTTCCTCAAAATGGAGGGCTATTTATGGATAATTTGGGGAAAATTAGGCAGCTCATTAATATTCTATTTTGTGGCTATCGACGATGGAGATCCATGATCCGTGATCCGTGAAAAATGCAAGCCGAAACCTATACTCGTCCGGGGCACAGGGTGCCCCAGCGAGTAATTATTATAAACTTTTACAAAATTTGCTTTGTTTACAAAAGTTATATTATATACATAGATTGCTAATGTGTCCTCCAGATGCATCGTCACCGGCGCTATGACGTCATGTGCCATGGGTCTATACAAATATACATTTTTAGACCTAATGTATAAAAATTCCACTCGAAATTTCCATCTACAAATTCCTTCGACAATTAGTTATATCGAGTGAGATGCCCAAAATCTTGACACTTGGAATATAGTAACTTTTTCCTCATAGGTAAGTATCCCAAAGTTCCGTACCATTTGCACGTTTTGCCGAATTCTCTTTTGGCTTAGTGCTAAATTGGTTTCTCTATTTCTGAGATTGTAAATGTCATCTCAGAAGTGTGATAAATAAAGGATATTACACGGCGGCGCGACGATGACTATTATCTTCGAGTGGTGAAAACAATATTTTACGAACGAGCGCAGCGAGTGAGTAAAATATTGTTTTTAATACGAGAAGATAAAAGCCATATCTTCAAGCCACCGTGTAATGAATTTTTCTGTGTTGGTGTAGTGTACTCAGATGAATATGATGCTTGTGATGTTACTCTGAGTGTATATCCACACCGGGCAAGCTTGAAAAAATATGCCTGTCCACGAATCGAACCTACGACCTTTGGAATACTATCCCAATGCTCTGCCAACTGAGCTGAACGCGGTCAGGTCGGTTCGAGTATGTGATATTTCGGAACCGGAGTGCATGATATTCACCTGAGTATACTACACCAACGTAGAAAAAATCATGATTATTAGATTACATTGATATCGGAGGAACTAGACTCGGTTCCGAAATATCACATACTCGAACCGACCAGACCGCGTAGCTCAGTTGGCAGAGCATTGGGCTAGTATTCCAAAGGTCTCAGGTTCGATTTCCACCGTGGACAGGCATATATTTCAAGCTTGCCCAGTGTGGATATACACTCAGAGGTACATCACAGGCATCACCATGTAATGTTGTGTTTATTATATAGTCCCAAGCAAAAATTTGTATAAATACTAAAAGTCACGTGATCGATATCTTCACTGGTGAAGATATGGAAAATATCTCACTGTATTTTTCAGTATCTCGCTCTCTACTATATAATAAGTTTCATTATCTAATCAAAAAGATTTTTTTAGATTGGCAGTGGGGTGGCCATTATGAATTGTATACATAAAAATTGATTTTAAGTAGTTGCGTCTTACTTCTAGGGGTTTAACATCTTCCAACATTACCCAACATAGTATTCACACGAGGCCAAACAACGTTACGTTTACAATGTTGGATTATGTTGGACCAACATTTGACCTTGTTTGAACGGGCAATAATTATTTCTCGCTCTCATAACGGCTTATTGACCGAGCGTGAGGTCTGTACTGTGAAGTATCAGACCGAGGTTTTTTAGTATGGACCGAGCGACGAAGGAGCGAGGTCCATGCAAAAAACAGAGGTCTGATATTTCACAGTACAGACCGAACAAGGGAGGTCAATAATCGGCTTATTATATGGCTGAACTGAGTCTGTGAGCATATGCTTTTCGCGCGAATTAAATCGGCTATCGTCACTGGGTAACAATAAACGGTAACAATAAACGGTACCACTGGGTTTCACTGGGTAAATATACCAAATAACACTGGGTTTCACTGGGTAACAATAAACGGTAGGCATGCATGCATACTCAATCAAAAACAATTTAGTTGTTTGAATTTTTTATCTGTAAAGCACAATTGGAAATTTAAAAAGCAAAAATTTTTTCTGTTTGCAAAGCAAAAATTTCCCGCCAGATAAACGACATCTGGGACACCGGTCCAGATTCGGAAAATACGGACCGCGGTCCGGATATGGGTTTTTACGGACCGCTTTCGGCTCAGCTGATAACGCTTATCTCGACCTTGATAATTCTGCATGTCACAAAACCTCGTCCAATAATTGTTAATTATTATTATCGTTCTGCATCCTCCCAATAGGACTTTTCAGAATGCATTCACAAATCACAAATAATGTTATCTTACAGTGCGTCTACAGTAAGTGGGGCCACTTAGAAAACACTAACCAATCACATTGCAGAACAAAAATAGAAAAAATCAACAAACAGCGCATTAGCCAATCAGCATTAGGCCAAAAACAATTTGAACATATGAAGAAATGTCAAACGGTAAAAATAGACTTGAAAAGTAAACACTGCAGTGCATGCTTCCTGAAGCGAACTCCATGCTTTCTTTTGATTGGACGAGCTTTAGTTTGATTATATTTCTATTTTTGTTCTGCAATGTGATTGCGGTTAGTGTTCTAGAAGTGGCATTAGTGGCCCCACCTACTATAGACGCACTGTAAAAACTATTACTCTATATAAATTGTTATACAAACATGATAACAATTGATAAGAATTGAGATAAGATATTTTGATAAGAATTGATTAAAATTGGATAAAAACGCCTATGACATCTACTTCTTAATTAGTAAGGATATATTTCTTAAGTTCTTGCTTAAACTCACGAATGTTTCTGGCCCGTGTTTGTTTGAAATTTTGGAATAATCAGGTCATTGATCTGTCTAGTGGGATACTAATGAATACTTGCTCGTTGGAAATGTTCGCTTAAATACCAAGTGTTTGTCTATCGGCATCCAGCTAAGTTCTTGTATAGCACTGGTGTAGTATGGTCATATTTGCTGGTATCTGTTATAATCCTGCATGGCCGCAAAATTTTGAACCAGTTGTAATTTTTTCACGTTTTTTTTTAGCGGTATTGGATGAAACAACTGAGCAGTAAAATAATTTGCTTAGTACTAGGGAGTGTATGATGAGGGACAGGATTTCTTGATCCAAAAGGTGTCGGACTCTGTTAATCTGGCAGAGTTTTCATAAGCATGATGAAGCAAATTCACTGATGTGCATATCATATTTTAATTAGGAATTAAGAGTCACTCCTATAGATCTTTGACTGAAAAAATTAGGTGTAAGGTTTTATTTAGGAAATTTAGTGTTGGTGTGCATTCGCCCTCTACGTCATGTTATGCGCACCATAGGCA